CTTAATAAATCTCTTACCCAAGGCTAGAAAGATGGCTTAGTGGTTAAGAGTGCTTACCTGCTATTCCAGAGGACCCAGGTTTTGTTCCCAGTACCCGTCAGACAGCTCACAACTACTTGTAACTCCAGCTTCAGGGGAATCCAACACCCCCCTCAGGCCTCTACAGGTACTGCACTCACATGCATATACACACACTCAAAAGTAATAGAGACAGGTGTGGCAACACACGCCTTTAGTCCCAGCACTGAGAGGCAGAGGCAGGTGGATCTCTGTGAGTTCAAGGCCAGCCTGGTCTACAAAGCAAGTTCTAGGCCAGCTGGGGCTACAGGGAGACCTGTCTCAAAAAGACCAAAAAAAAAAGATAAAATATTTCTAAAAATTAAATAAATTCTTTATCCAAAAAGATAATCCATCAGTTCCCCTCTTGAACCCCAAACACAAAACCCTTCAATTGGTTTTATGCCATGCTGGAGATGGAACAAAAGACCTCATACATGTGAGGCAGGACTTTATATATAAACTGAGCTATATCCTCAGCCTTTTTTAAAAGTCAGCTTCAGAGCTGGAGAGATGGTTCAGTAGTTAAGAGCACTTACTGCTCTTATAGAGGACTGGAGTTTAGTTTCCAGAACCTACATTTGGTGGCTCACAACCACTTACAACTCCAGCTTCAAGGGATCCAATGCCCTCTTCTGGACTCTGTGGGCATGTGTGTAAACACACATATATACACACAGAGAGACACATTAATAATAAATATTTTAAAAAGCCAACCATGATTCAGTTTTGTATGGTAAAAAAGACCATTTTCTTTCTTTCTTTTTTTTTTTTTTTTTTTTTTGGTCTTTTTGAGATAGGGTCTCCCCGTAGCCCTAGCTGGCCTGGAACTCACTATGATGTAGACCAGGTTAGCCTCAAACTCACAGAAATCTCCCTGCCTCTGCCTCCCGAGTGCTGGGATTAAAGGCGTGCACCACGACACCAGGCAAGACCATTTTCTTTTTTTTTAATATTTATTATTTTTATTTTATGTGTATGCATGTATTGTCTGCATGCAGGTGTGCTGTCGTGCAATGCCCATGGAGAACAAAAGAGACCATCGGATCCCCTGGAACTGGAGTTACAGACAGTTGTTAGCTGCCATGTGAGTGCTTGGATTCGAGTCCAGGTCTTCTGCAAGAACAACCAGTGCTCTTAACCACTGAGCCATCTCTCTAGCCCTGAAGACCATTTTCTTAACCGGGGTGTGTGTGTGTGTGTGTAATCCCCAGGGTGCAGCATGATTCCTGCATAGTGTGACACTCTTCCTCTGCAGAGGAAAGCCTCGAACAGGGACAGGGAAGGGGAGGTAGGAGCAGGGAAGAGTCCTGCATCTGTGAGATGTGCCCCTCTCAATCTGTCACCAAGTTACCAGCAGAGCTACTTCACAGCTGGAGCTAAGAAACCCAGGCCTAGACCATCCTCAGGCTCTTCCTGGCCAGTGATTACTTCAGGGTGGGGCATGTGAGCCAGATGATCCAATAAACTTCAACATGAGTGCTGAGTCAAAACTCCTGCTGGAAGACCCTAAGCCTCAATGACAAGGCCTGAGGCTACGAGTCCCTCCTGAGGCACGAGTCAGAGTGGGACAGCTGGGCACAGGGGATAGCTGGCCAGGATGGAGAGAGATTGCTGGTGATGCTAGGGGCATCCTGGATCCAGCCCTGGTATTTTCACTGTGTTGCCAATTCTGGCTTGAGCCAGCCTTGGCTGGGGTTTCTGTTACTATAGCCAATGAGGAAAAGAATACCAAAAATCAGCTTGACCTTGGCCAGCTGGTGAATGGAAAGTAGGCCAAGGGATGAGCACCAGCCTAACCAGGGATACCAGCTGCCCACCATGTGAGCACCTGAGGTCTACCCCTTCCTCTTCCCAAGCCTACCCTGGTTTGTGATTTTCCTGTCTGAGCCAGTGAGAGAAAGGAAGGGGATCATGGGTCCTTGGGTCCTGAGTGAAGAGTGCAGAGGCAATCCAGAGCACCATAAGCCAACAGCTGTGCCCCCAGAAGTCACCCAGTGAAATCAGACCATCACTGATGTGCAATAGCTAGACATGCTTGTCTACACCATGAACCAAGTCACTAGAGCCAAGCTGCCACCACAGAGCAGTTTACTATTTGCTTGTGACAGTCTCTAAGTTTGAGGACAGAATAGCAGGAGGCATTCTGAAGCCATTTGTTAGTGATAAGGTAAGAGGCAGCCATGACTGGGGAGAAAGTATTGACTGTCAGGGGCAAGGCTGGCTTCTGAGTTCAGGTGATGGCCTCCTTCAGGGGTCTGCTGTGGATTCAACACACACATACACTTGCACACAGGAATACAGGCCTATGAACATGTACCCATGTGCCATGTATGAGCATGTGTCTGGGAGGTGTCTATAGGGTATACTTGTGGAACGTGTAGGTGTGGATATGAGGTGTGTGCCTGTGACTGTGTGCTGTAAACACATCTGTGTGGGGGGTACACGGTGGAAGTGTACCTGTGTTGAACGTATGTAATTTCACATATACACATATAGACATTCATACTTGCATGCACACACACTCGCTCATCTCAACATATACATGTGGTGCGTGCACATGCACGCACGCACATACATACACTCATGCTCACACACCCATGACCAAGGGGTTATAAAAATCACTAAATTTGTCTCGTGAACCTGTTTAACCTTCACAACACATGCACACAATCCTGAGCAGACCCCCCAGCTCTGGGTCAGCAGGGCCAACCTGGCAGGAAGGAGGGAGGGCTAGACAGAGTAAGTCATATGCCCACACCCAACAGGGCCTGTGCTGTCTCTGACAATCATGGTCACACTTTGTTGTCACCCAAAGCCAAGTCCCAGAAGGGTATGGGCCACCAAGAGATGGCATACCTCCCAGTCCCCCAAGCAGCCAGGGAAATGTGACAGCTGTGGCCAAGGGGATGTAGCAGGATAGGCAGAGTCACCTCCTCCAGATTCCTTTAGCAACATGGAGTAAGTTCTTGTGGATACCCCCCCCAAGTCCACCTGCTCCCTTCATCTGGCTAGATGAGGGTCCCAGCATAGTACCCAGCCTGCACCAAAAGCAATTTCCCCTCTTCACCTGTGCGAGGCCCTTCCTCTGAGCCCAAAGCCAGATGTAGGGGTAGTGGCTGTCTCTATGAGAGCAGACCCAGAAGGGGATCTCTCTTGTCCACGTACAGTCAGTCACCCATGGCTGGAGATGCTCCAGGGCACCTGCTGGCCTGAGGAAGACAGATGGGAGGATCCATCTAGGTCATCCCATGGGCTCAGAGCAGGGAGACAATGGGTAGTGGTGTCCAGTCAGACCCTTTAGGAGAACTGCCCAGGGGGAAGTAAGCACAAGGAGAGGCACCCTCCTGGAGAGGCGAAGACCAGCAGGATGGACAAAGGGGGCCAGCAGCTGGAGAAGTCTAGATAGCAAGCAACCCCTGGCCAGGCCTCCCAACACTACTACTTCCTGACACTGCCACCTCCCAGACACTGCAACCTGACATGTCTGTGTCTGATCAACAGAAGAGGGGCCTGGGGCCATGCAGGCATGGAGGAAGGGTAGCCACTGTGATGCTGAGAGCAAGGCAGGTCAAAGGCACCCAAGTGGCGGTCACTCCCATCTGTAGTACATTAGTGAAGCTGGCTTCACAGCTCAGTGCAGACACGGGCCTTCAGCTGGGCCTCTCATGACTAAAGAGCATGTGGATTAGACCAGGAGGCCCCTTAAGACACCATGGTGAGAAGACAGGGCCACCACATGGTCCTGGGACTGTTACAGGATATGGCCTGCAATCAAATACATGGGCGCGCTTGGGAGCACTTGGGATGAGCCCAGCCCAGCTTGGGATGGTCAGCAGCCAGGTCCCCAAGCTAACATTCTCTCACATCCTCCCAACAGCCATATTCCCACAACAGCTACATGCCACAGGCCTTTCTTTCACTTCAGCAATGACCCCAGGACACAGGGGTACCTGGTTAGCCCCTATATGTGCTGAGGATAGCAGAATACACACCTCTGTGATGTCCTGTCCTCCTCCAGGGGCCTCTAGATATGAGATACATGTCGGTGGGGGACTGAGACGTTTGCTGGCCGATGGCAAAGGGGAGTGACCTAGTGACTACTGGGCCTGCCAGGGGTTCAGGATATAGCAAACGGAGGCTATGCACGTCTTCAGGGATGGCAAGAGGCCCTAGCCAAGGAAGGAGGCACCTCTTAACAGGTGAGAAGAAACAGGCTGTGAAGGAGCTCTGCTGAAGCCTCTGGAAGCCAGCCCTGTGCACACTGATGGGGCTAGAGGGGCCCACCTCAGGCTCTGATCCCTGAATCAGGACTACTGGGTGGCTTCAAGCCCATCTTACAGTGGCCCACAGGAAACTGTAAAAGGTCCCCTTCAGTGCTCTGGTCCCCAGGTTCCCCTTCAGCACAAACACAGCCTGGGAACCACTGAAGGGAGACCACAGCTCCAGCCTGACCTGGAGCTCTCCAGAAAAGCCATCAGTCTGCTGATAAACAGAGTATACTTGAGGTCAAGCCTCCCATTGCTCCCGTCTTCCTGAAGGAACAGAGGGAAGGGTTGAGATAGGAGCAAGCAAGACAGATGAGAGCCACACCAAGGATGGTAGGCACAGCACTGAGAAAGGCTGACTAGGTGCTCTTGTGGTAAAAAGGCTACGTTCCCCTGTGGGCCAAGCCAGGAACTATGGCCAGCTGCAGCACAACTCAGGTCTCACAGTAACAAGACAAGACCATAATGCAGAAACCCAGTCAGCCCTAGGCAGCAGGGAGGTTCAGGGTTGGGGAGGCTGGGAATCCACCTAACACAGATGAACTGTTGCTAAACACCAGGGGCCCAGGGAACACTGCCACACAACTTGTGACTCCAGGGGACAGCTGTGGGATCATACAGGGGCTTCCACAGTCATCTCCTCAGAGACACAAGCATATTGCACGTGTACAAATGTGCATGATACACATGTTTATTGCATAAAATTCTTCATAGCACTTTTCCCTTATAGATTTAAAATCCTGAAGATTTCTAAAAGGTATTATGTTGTGTTCAGTTTAAAAAAAAATACAAAAACAACCACCAGGATTTCTGATGTATGGCCTACAAAAAGCAGAGGTGTGCCTGGCCCAAAGCTGAGACCTCATTTACAAGTGCTGACACACGACAGGAATAGCAGAACTGCCAGGTGGAGGAAGTGCAATGCCAGGCAGCTCTGTCCCTGTAGACGAGGTTACACTGCCCAGCATGTACCTGGAGGGTGGCATGGAGTGGACATCCAGTGCTTCAAGAGCCCACATACACCAGATCCTCAATTAATATTAAAACATCTGACCCGTTTAAACATTGTGCCATCAAGACCCTGAGGCAGAGTAAGAACACTCACCAGCCCAGAGGACTTGTCTCGGCAGAGTGTGACCCTTGGTTCCCCTGGAATGGTGCTTTGGCTGTGGCAGACAGCACATGAACTGTCAGCCCAGAAATCCAAACAGCCATCTGTGAAGTGACAAGCACACTGTGCCAGGGTACCCTGACCTCAGCCAGCTCTTAACAGGACACTATGGCTGAGGGAAGCCAGGCCAGGAAAGATAGGGGGCAGAGGGTAAAAAGACATGCACCTTCATAGAGCGAAATAGTACAGGAGGCTCACAAGGTTGAGGGCCACATCGCTCCTTGGGTGTGCTGGCACCAAATGTCATGAGCCCTGTGCCTGCAAGGCCATGTGCAGACCCATGCACTCAGAACAGGGCCTCGATAAGCCTCAATGCACCCTCTGGTCTCTGAAGGCCAGGCCCATCATGGTGTGTGGGGGATCTGGTCCCCACCAGTGACTCCTAGACAGGAACACTGCTTCCGAGCCTGCAGAGCCACAGTCCCACGACCGTCTGGACCAGCCGTCAGTCTATGTGCTCCTTGAATGTATAGAAGTTCTGGAAGTTCCATAGCTGAACAGCACAGAGCTGTAGCTCAAAAGTCCTGCAGCTCAGGAATGTCCCGGTACAAGTCCAGGGTTTCAGGGTTGGAGAACGCCCCACTGTGCTCCACGGCCCTCCCAGCCATCACCTGCTTCACAGCCACCTCCACTTTCTTGCCGTTGAGCGTGTACTGCAGGCAAGGCAGAGGAGACAAGGAAAAGGAGATTTTCAATCTGGAGGTGATGCAGCATACCCTCGGCTTAGCCATCTCCCCACTTCCCTGCCCAGAAAACCCACAAACCAGGATGAACAGAGTGAGTGGATGAGTGTGCGTATGCCTGTCCCCACAGGTGCACAGTGGCTGGTGCCCTGCACAGAAACTGCCCACTTCCTACTTCCTACCTGGGCCAACAGGTCAGAAAGGCAACAAGCAGAGCCAGCATTAACACCAACCACACACTCATTCACTCATTCAGTCACTCACTCACTCACTCAGTCACTCACTCACTCATTCACTAACGCACTCATTCTCTTACTCAGTCACTCACTCACACACTAACTCACTTACACACACAGTAGGCAGCTGGGGCTCTCTCCCTCCCCAGCCCTAGGAGACTATGCGAACTCCAAAAGAATATATTCCAGGCAGAGTGAGCCATGCAGGTCACTCAGGGGCTCAAGGTTAGTGGCCACTCAGCAAGACCCAGAAAGCCTCACCCAGCTCAGCTCGTCTCCACCCAGCTCTGCACATGCCAGTTCCCTTGACATCAGAAGCTCCCCAGCCGGAAGTCCAGTGTTCCTGCCCAACTTCTAACAAGTAGCAGCCCTGCAGGCATAGTGTACAGGTGGCCTGGCAGCAAGTTTAGATAACTGCTCCATGCACACACTTGGGACACACATGCACACATGCACATACACTCGATGGTTTCTCCTCTTGAATCAGTTCTTTCCACTCTGCACACAAGTGCTGGATCAGTGGGGGACCTGCTCCCCACACCAAATGTGACCAAGCCAAGGTGGGGCAGACTCCTGAGGCCCCCTCCTGAGTACATAGGAAGCTGACTCCCTAGGCAGACTATGATTACCCCCAGACCCCTCACACACACCTTGAGGGGAGCCTCAGAACTCATGTTCTGCAGTTTCAGGGTGAACTCAGGGAGAAGAGGCCAGGCAGCCTGCAGGGCCAGGCTACCACCCTCAATATGGCATCCCACAGAAGCTGCTGGAAATGCCACCTTGGGAGGGAAGATGGTTGTTAGGCAACACAGCACCCACAGAGAAGTAAGAACAAGCTGCCAGTCTCTCTGAGCACCAAGCACATTGCTCCTGCAATGACATCACCCCTGTAGCCATTATGCATCGGTGATGGGATGACAACATACTGGGATGCCTTGAGTCTCCAGGATGAGGCTGGGCACATGGCGAGCAGACAGGCCAAGGCGGATGGCATCACGGATGTGCTTCACGAGGTCGGGCTGGAAGGTGTGCCCAGACGCCATCTTCAGAAACAGGATCACCCTCTCCTCTCCATCCCTGTTGTACTGGGGAACACACAGGCTGTCCTCCACCTCCTCGAAGGCTTCCACTGTAGAGACAGAATGCACACAGCATTACACAAGCTCCTCCACCCTCTGTGATGCTCATATCGTTTGGCAGAAGGTGCCGAGCCTGGCCTGAAAGGAAAGAAGCCCCTGTCTGTCCTCAGCGGGGAGCAGTTTGGGAACATCTGCCAAGAGGCTGAACCAGAAACACACTGCCTTGGGGGGCAGCACTACAATTGCACCAGAACTGGTGGGGTACCCACATGAGGGCCACTCTTCCTTATAAGACACTACTAAAGGGGGCAGGCACCTGGGGGAGCTCCAGGGCTGGGAAGAGGTAGGTTCAGATCACTCACTCAGCCTCACAGACAGACTGGGCACTACCCAGGGTTCTAATCCAGCATGACAGGGGAGATCTCTCAAGAAGGGAGGATTTGGGGCCTGGGTAAGGATTAAGTCCCAAGGCCCCCCAGGTGTGCTACTAGATAATCCTAAAATCCACAGGTTTGCACCTGGTATTGTGCATAGTGCAATGTGAATTTCAGCATTCACACACCCTCTCTGTGCCTGTTTCCTCACCCAGAAAGCAGAGTCAACACAATTGAGCTGTAACGATGAAACCTGAGGCAAGACCAAGACCAAGGTTTTAGAAGCTGCCATCATGAAGCCAGGTTGTATTCTGGAGGGGAGGGTGTGCATGGAGGTCTGCCCTTACCCAGATCTCTCAGAACCAGGGCCCTGGTGCCTACAGGACCACTCTGGGCCCCCTGAGTGATAGTAGCCTGAGGACAGAAGCACGCACCAATATTGTAGATCTCCGAGCTGCCAAAGCGCACGCCATTGGGGTTGAGTGTGCCATCACTGCAGAGACAAGAGGCACATGGCTGAGCCAGCAGAGGAGTCAGGCTGCAGAGGCCACATCTCATCCCTCCCAGCAAGGAGAGTCAGGGCTGCAGAGACCCATATCTCAGCCCTTCCAGCAAGCACTATGCTGGTCAGTAAGGCTCTTCCCTAGCACCTACCTGCCACCCAATTGTTGCCCCCACCCTCCTTTCACAGGACATCCCCTCCATGCCTCCCAAGGGGATGGCAGGAGGAGCAGTACCTCACCTCCGGCCCAGCATGACAATGCCTCCCGTCTTGGGGTTAATTCTGCAGTAGTCACCATGTGCCCAGACACCTGCAAGAAAGGCGAGGGGACAGACTGAGATGCACCTGGACAGACACCCGAGGCAGAGGCAAAAGGGAGGGGACCCTGGCCTCAGATTCATAAAGCCAGGAATAGGCAGTGTAGGGCTGAGCACAAAGTCCAGGGAACGTGAGGCAGGTGCTCCTAAGCAATCCTCTGCCGGCCCACCCAGCAGCTCCACAGGACCCAGTAGCCTGGGCAAACGCTGCTCAAAGGCACCAAAAGACACAAAGCCAATGACCTCTGTAGAGATGACAGAGGCAGCGTAGAAGTCGCGTATATCCTTTAGAGTTAAGTCACCCAGCAGCAAGACTTCAAAGCTGCCTGTTCCCAAAAGAGGAAGAACTGATGGTCTTAGAAAAGGGGCTCCCCTGCAGGGCAGCCCAGCAAAGTGAACCAAGGATGTCAGTGTGTAAGGGTGGTGTGGGTGGCACATCTGGCCCAAATCATCCCACTGCAAGGGCACCACCCTCCACTTCCATCTGAACTAGCAGTCCGACCCTAACCAAAGGGCAGGCAGCCCTGACCCTCTCATGGGGACCCAATGGCTCGAGTGGCTGTCAGCAGTGGTAGTGGCTGAAGGTGCTGAGTTCAAGGCAGTATGTCAGCTGAGCCCAGGCTACACAGTCCATAGTGTTTTCAAGCTGACACTGACAAGATACTGACCTCCTAGCCAGGCAGGGCCTGGTAATGGCCTACTCCACCTACCTGGGAATTTGGAGAAGTAGGCCTTCCTGTACTTATTGCCATTCTCATCATTCCAGAAGTGTGTGGGCTGGCAGGGGATGGGCTTGGTGCATACCAACTCACCACTCTCTCCCCAGACGGCCTTCCCTGGCGTGGGGAAGAAAGTAAGTGGTGAACCTGGTATACATGCAGTCACACTCTGGTACACAGGCAGTCACATTCTGGTACACACTCTCTTTCTTAAGCTCCCACCTGGGATGTGACAATCCTGCACCTGGGCACAGGCGACTCACCCCACCAGATGCCATGTCTTACCCCACCAGTTCTGCATACAGCCAACAAGGCCTCGGTACCCGGTCATCTGCCCAGCGTTCATCAGGACTCCACCCAACACCTGCTTCTCCCAAGGCTGGGGGAGGGAGCCCATGGATATAAAACCCGTCTGAGAGAAAGGGCATCATTTCCCATAGGACAAGGGTCAAGCCCCTCATATGGAGATAAGAGAGCTATCAAAAGAAAGGGACAAAGCCAGGTATGGTGGGACACAGCCAAGCTCGGTAGCACACACCTTTAATCCTAGCACTCAAGAGTCAGGCAGGTAGATCTCTGTGAGACTGAGGCCATGGCACAGAGGTCTACCACATGAGTCTATTCTAGGCCAGTCAGGGATACATGGATATATAGTAAAACCCTGTCTCAAAAAACAAACAGCTGGGTATGGTGGTGCACGCCTGTAGTCCCAGCACTTGGGAAGCAGAGGCAGGCGAATCTCTGAGTTCAAGGCCAGCCTGGTCTACATAGCAAGTTCCAGGTCAGCTGGGGCTACAGGGAGACCCTGTCTCAAAAAGACCAAAAAAAGACCAAAAAACAAAAAACAAAATCAAGGGACACATTTGTGTGTATCCATGGTCCCCTCACACCTGTTCCTTCCCCCCTCACACCCCAGAACAGTGAGAGTCATCACCTTCCTCATCCCAGGCCTCCACAGCCATGGCCAAGTTCCGGGCCTGGATCTCACCCTTGTACACAGGAATAGATGAATTCTGGCCCATGAAGCAGGAGATGATGTCAGTGCCACCTGCAGCAAACAGCAGAGGGTCAGGTAGAGGCCAGGCGAGTCTCAGGGTCAGAGATGCTAGCCTGTTCCCCAAAGTGCACAGCAGAGAGAAAGGGCTACCTGAGAGCACTGCATTCCTGCAGACATGCCCACTAGTGTGGCCTAGAAAGTATTGGGGGCTCTTCCTTGAAGAGAGAGGCAGTCACGTATCTGTCCCATTGTCAGGTGACGTTTGTCTTATGAGGGCTCAGCAAGTGCTCTCTAGCAGTCAAAGGGAAGTCCAAGACTTGGAAAAATAGCAACCTCTCCTGATGGCACTCACACTCACACACCAACCCACAGGTACACACACTCACACATACATACCCCACAAAGACACACTCACCCCATACATAGAGACACTCACACATAGCAATAGCAAAGTGGGTATAGGGACCCCAGCCAGGAGGTAGAGCAGGTACACAGATAGGCAGTGTGGACACCATTTCCCACACTCGGTGACCAGATCCTGCCCTATGGTGCCCTTGTCTGGATACCCCTAGAACCACGTTAATGACTCCCCAACCAGGTCTGCACAGGAGTCGGGGAAGGGCAAGCCACACAAGGGACTCCCCCCTTGGAACACAGAAGGGACAGCTCAGCCTCTGCAGAGACTCAAACTGTAGCATGTGTTCCATGTTCGCCACACACTTGTTTCCACCACTCAGGTCCTGCGTCCCCTGCCACTACCACTACCAGCTAAATGCACTGCCCAGAAAGCAGCCAAGCTCAAGCTCTGTTCACACTGCTTCAGGCTGAGAACAGGGACAGTGAGAAGACAGTGAGAAGACGGACCTCCAGCATGCATCATGGCACCTGTACATGTACTTCCACACACACACCCATCTATGCATATACTCGCATACACACATCCATGCACACATGCTCACAATCTCACACACACATACCTTCATGCACACAAACATTCACAAATAAAAATTCAATAAAAAATTTTAATTATGAAAAAAGTCATTTTAACACCTATATTATGCACCCACATATACTACAAAACAGCCACAGCTTTTAATCCTGTAACCTGCTGCCACTCAACATATCATGTGCCTTTCATCATAGTGAGCACACTCCTGAGTCTGATTTCCATCCTGTTGCTTCCAGAGAGGGCTGCCCCACACTCCACTTTCCCCGTCCCCCTCCTCCCACAGCCCCATATTCTGCTTCTCTCCTTCCCCCTTCCTCTTTCCCCCTCCCCACTTGGCCACCTCAGTCAGTACCTGAGATGGAGCCGAGGAGCACACTGTTCTTGATGCATCTGTACACGTACTCATAACTCTGGGCTTTCAGTGGGGAGCCAGTGGACAGGATCGTGTGAAGCGTGTGGAGGTTGTGGGTTTCCACTGGGGACAGCAATCAGTGATTAAACCAACTGCCTTAAGGCCTGCTTATGTACAGAGTAGATGTCAATTCCTGGAGGGGCCACTCACCTGGTTTCATGTCCTTCTCCTCCAGTACTGACAGCCACTTAGCTCCTGTCCCCAGGATGGTGATACTGTTCATGGGTAGGAGAGAAAGCACCAGACCCTGTAGGTGGCTTCCTACCATCAGGGACAGACTGACACAGTGTTCCCCCATCCCTGCCTTCCTCTGTTCAGTCCCAGCTCCAGAAAGACAGCCTACCCAGGCCTACCACCAGCCTGGCACCCCATCTTCAGGAACACAGTCTGCCCAGTCCTACCACCAGCCTGGCACCCCATCTCCAGCAGGAATCCGCATGGGGCAGGGATCCCAGCACAAGCAGGGGTTGGTGGCAGTGTTAAGTGGCCCAACCAACTCCTTCCAGGGGAAAGAGGGTCACACACAGTGAAGAACTGTACAGACTTGTCTTACCACCACATGGCCTTCATAAATGGGTGACTGCCACCACCATGTCTCCCTGGCCAGGACCCCAGAACTTTGGACCCATCTCTAACCAGAATGTCCTCTCCCTGTTCTCTCTCAGGGAACAGGAAAATCCACCATTAAAGGGTCTGGCCTGAGCCTGCAGAGTTAGTGCCAGCGATGCACCACGCTGTTTCAAAGTTGACACCACAATCAGTAAAGATCCATTCCTAAGAGTCCAGACACATCTAAAAACTCTGAGGTCACAGGGAGCAATGCAAGGGCATTGTGGGCATGATGATCCTGGCCAGTGCCTCCTGACCCAAGGCTACAGGGGTTTTTGTTTAATTACATTTTTATGTATGTATTTTGTTAGGGAAGGAAGGGTGCTCACATGCTGTGGCACATGGGTGGAGGTTGGAGAACAACTTGCAGGAGTCTGTTCTCTCCTACTTTGTGGACCCTGGGATCAAACTGAGATCATCAGATTTAGCAGCAAGTACCTTTATCCACTTATCTTGCCGACCAAACAATAGGGTTTTCATGAGCACATTTAACCTTGTTTTAGACTCAGAAGGGGCCAGGCTGGGTTGGGACCCTGCACTTGCTCTTCTCACTGGTGACTGGGCAGGGACTTGAAGCCTGCATTCCCTCCAAGAGCCCCTTCCTTCAGTCCCCACCCAGGAACCAAACTACACTTGTTGTGCAAGATTACAAGGAGGTGAACTCCACCACTGGGTACAAGCAGTGTCTGGAGAGGCCTCAAGGGCGGCAGAGATCACGTCTTAGTGTTGGAATGCACACTGCCTGGGTCTGACAAGAGACAGAGGCTCAGTGTGTGTACCCTGCGTGGAACCAGTCCATACACCAGTTTCACAAATACCTGTACTTTCACACTTGTGTGTGCACATGCAATCTTATGCATACACATGTATGCTTTTACAGGTGTACACACATGTGAACACACACTTTCACACACATGTATCACACATACACAGCTGGCTACCCAAGCCTTTGCCTCTAAGCAGTAATGACATCCATTTCCCTCTCCACTCCACTTCTGGTGACTTCTTACTGTGCCCACCCCACACCAAAATCCTCCTCCTAGAGTCTGGCTGGCAGGTAGTAAGGGCAAGATTTTAAAGCCACTGAAACTCTGGGGATGTGATTCCTTTAGCCAACAGCAAACTCATTAGAAAATGACCTTCCTCACATACTGTGAGCCAAATGTCAGGATTAAAATAGCATCACTCTGGCCAGGCACAGTTATATGTAAAATATTAATGGCCAGACATTTTAAAATTATTTTTATTTCATGTGTATGACTGTTATACCTGCATATGTATAAGTGCACCTGTGTCATGCAATGCCTACGAAGATCAGAAGAGGGCACTGGATTCCCTGGAACTGGAGCTACATACAGAGAGTTGTTAGTTCCCATGTGGGTGCTGGGAATTCAAACCCGGGTCCTCTGCAAGAAGAGCCAGTGCTCTTAATCTTAATTGAGCCATCTCTTCAGTCCCTAATGGCCAGCGTTTAAAAATACTAGTAGTGGGTCAACAAAATGGCTCAGCAGGTAAAGGTACTTGCCACCAAATCTGATAACCTGAGTTTGAGCCCCTGGATCCACATGGTAAGAAAGCACTGATTTCTGCAAGTTGTCCTCTGACCTCTATTCTTGTAGGCCCTTGCCCACATGCCTATAATCCTACCACACACAATATAAATTTAAAAAGGAAAAACCCACTAGTGGCTCCTTCTGTTTGCATCACAGATAGGTTTAAGCTTGGTGACTGGGTACAGCAAAGCAGAACTTCCACCTCTGGAACTCTGTGCCTCTATCACCAGTTACTATATAAAGGGTTCATCCACCAAGGCTGGCAGCATAGGATGTCTGGGATCTCTATTGATAATATTTTCCTAATCCTCAGACCAGGCAATAACCAGTGCTGTGTCCTGCCCCGCTGCCACCCCTGTACCTTCAGGCTCTCACCAACATCCCCAAAGGGGAGAGAAGTGGGCAGGGTCACAGGAAGGTGACCACGCCCTTCAGAGGCTACAGAGCATCAGTTATCTACTCTGTCCACTGGGACCTAAAGACACCACGTACATGGTAGCCTATGGCTTTAACCCTGCTCGGTGTGGGCTTCCCTGGCAGCTCAAACTCCACAGGGCTGGGATTAGGATCAATACCTTGTTCACAGTGTGGCACTGATGCTAAAGCTTTCTGAGTACTGAGCAGCTCTCGGGCACACCACACATGGGAAAGAACAGTCACCACATAAGACCATGGGTATGACTTATTAACTTCTCTGACAGCAGATGTCACTTCAAACATGTGCATGCCAAACATCACCTGAAACCCTTCTCTTTTTTTTTTTTTTTTTTTTTTTTTTTTTTTTTTGTCTTTTTGAGACAGGGTTCCCTGTTGCCCCAGCTGTCCTAGAACTCACTATGTAGACCAGGCTCAAATTGAACTCACAGAGATCCACATGCTTCTGCCTCCCAAATGCTGGGATTAAAAGTATGCGCCACCATACCTGGCTCTAATACATATAATTTCTACTGAAAAGTAATTTAAGAGTTTAGAAATAAAATAATACAGAAAGGAAGAAGGGAAAAGAGGGGAGGAGAGGTAAGAGGAGGAAGACACGCAATTGGAGCTGGGCTGTATTCAGTGGAACAGCACTTGCCTAGCACATAGAAGGTACTGGGTTCCTTTCCCACTATTACAAAAGAAAAAATTTCTAACCCCACCCCTGACATCAAATTGTCTCAGAGCTCCCTCCTGGCCCCCCTGTCCAGTCCTTACTCCATAGGAGACAGTAATAACAGTGAGTCCTGAACCAGCCCCCAGCCCCTCTGTCCTCTATCCTTCTGCTTCCAGCACCCTCCGCACCTTCCCAAGTAGGACATCCAGAAAGACAAAGCACTCCAAAGCCAGTGCCCTGGGACAGAGAGGCATTAGCTACATCCGACCCTGAGCGCCCCCACACAACAATGAAGACAACGACAGCTTGTCATCCTGCCAGCCCAACAGAACCCTGGGCACCTACCCTATCCTGTCCACCAGGTCCCACAACACATTGGGCGTTGGGACCAAGGGGGAGCCATCGTAGAGGACCAAGGATGCTCCCGTGGCCAGGGCAGACACCATCCAGTTCCACATCATCCAGCCAACCTGCAGCAAACAGAGTACATTGTAAGCCAAGGCATAGGCCTGGAATCCTAACACTGGTGGGAAGTTGAGTCTGAAGGATTGAGGGTTCAAGGCCAGACTGAGATACACTGTCAGACTCAAGTCTCAAAAAAACAGCAACAAAAAAGTTTTAAAGGAAAAAATGCTACACACAAGCTAATGACCACCCTCCATCTACATTGGGAAAATTTGGGCAGATCTGGAACATAATACAATGGGAAGGAACAGGAGAAGGAGGAAAGCAGGCATCAGCAAGAAGGGGCCTGAGTTCCCTACATGGGTCAGAGAGGGAAGAGGCACAGCCTGCTGGGAAAGATTGGGCAGACTTGCTGGGGATCTGAGCATTACCCAGCACCCAAAGGTCAGTAATGGGAGGTGAGGACCCACAGTGCATGAGAAAGTTCCCTGAAAGTCAGGCATAGTGGTACATGCCTGTTATCCTAGCACTTGGGAGGCTGAGGCATGAGGATCAGGAGTTCAAGGTCAACCTGGGGTAGAAAGTCACGTTCCAGCTAGTCCAGACAACTTGGCAAAATGCTCTCTCAAAATTAAAAATAAAGGGCTAAGGATGTGGCTCAGGGGTAGAGGATTTGCCTAGTGTGCTTTAGGATCTGGGTTCAGTCTCTAGTTCTGAAAACTTAAATAAAGGCAGCCAATCCTGAGACAGGAGCTGGGAGCCGGTGCAGCACAGCAGACAGCAGGAGCTTACTGTGGTGTAGTACAACAGGGTGTCAGTGCTCGTCATGTTGCCATGTAGCACATGTTCCTTCAGGTGCTGGATGAGAGTGCCCTGTGAGAAGAAGGCAAGACCTGGGTGAGACACATCATCCCCCTCTTTCCCCTTCCCTAAGGAGGCCAGCTAGAGCTCCGTGGCTCTGCAGGGCCACCTCCCATGTGAGCCTGCCATCAGATACCTACAATCAATCATGACTCCCAAGAGGAAAACCCTAGCACAACCCGCCTGTCCATGAGCCCTCAGTGCCTGTACTGTGACAGGCATCACAGGGCACCACAGGGACCCACTGACTTCAGGAAGAGAAGCGAGCATCCGTAAGATGGGAGTGAAAGTTCAAAGGCCAACAGCATGCATCTTCAAAACAATGCACCCCACCCATGGGTTCCCCTGGCAGAAGCCAGGGAAAGGCGGTGCCGAGCAAGACTGGCCAAGGCTCAACTGCATGGAGCTCAGGGAGGCCTCACCAGAGGGGACCACACAGGACCTGCTTATAATCAGACAGCTCACCAGTCCCCTGCCAGGGACCCTCCATGGACTATTGCTTTTCAATTTCAACTTTTAGTAAGTGATATATTTGCAAGTCCCAAAACCACAACACACAATCTAGGAAGCACCCTCCTCTCCCTAGCCTGCACCTAGTTTCCAAGGCAGCTGGAGTGAGCGGTTTCCTAGAGCTCTTCAGCATCCCCCTGCTGTACCTGTACCTTCCAAACAATGCTGGCTAGAGGCTGGCAGGGAAATGAGACAAATCTTCCTTCACAGAGCAGACAGCCCGGCAAGGGCCCAACTGCCCATTATTTCACCCTCAGTCCTAGTTTCCCTCTATCTATACTGGATCCCCACAAGATCCTTAGGACAATGGGGAATGCTGCCCTTTGCTGCCCCCAGAACAACTGGCTTACCACCTGGAACTGGTCCACATGTGAGCACCAGGCTCACGGTGAGATTGCCTGGCTATGGAGGTGATGAGGCTGGCACAAGGCCTCACAAAGTCCTACATGTTACACACCAGACTCACACTCAAGAGAAATCAAAGGACAAGTCAGAGAAGAATCCCCTACTTTGGTTGTAGTTTGAATGAGTAAGTCCCCCCATTGGTTTGTGTAACAGTTGGTCCCCAGTTGGCAGTGCTATTTGCAAAAGTTATTGTATCTTTAGGAGGAGGTAGAGCTTGATGGAGGAAGTACATGGGCAGAGTGGGGCTTTGAGGTTTTATAGTATGGCCCCACCTTCACTTCCTGTTCTTTCCCTTCTGTCATCTCTCTTTCTCTGCCTCACCCCCCGTAAGACCCCCCGGGTGCTAATGAAATGTATCAGACCAGCTCACGCTCCCACTGCCATGCCTTCCCTACCAGGATAGACTATGTTCTCTCTCTGCAACTGTGAGCAAAATAAACCCTTTTCTCCTCTAAGTTGCTCTTTGTCAGGGTATTTTATCATAGCAACAGAAAAGTAATGAATACAAGGGTTTAATAGAAACCACCCTCCCCAGAAAGGATCTGGTACAGAGCTGGACTCCCAGCCCCCTGGTGTTGGACAGTGCCTACCACCAAGCCCAAGGATGCCAAGTAAAGCCCAGGTACAGCCTGCCAGGAGGATGCTGCCCCAGTCAACATGGGGGCATGCAGTATGGGGAGGAATGTGCCTTTTCTCCCTGTCCCCAGCTATCTGGGACTCCAATGCTGACCTGCAGGATGAGGGTTAAGGGAACCCACTGTGTGGGTGCAGAGGGACACCAGCTTCCACAGGAAGTTTCATCCATACCACTCACCCACAGCTGGGAATAACTTAGAGCTGACAAACGAGGAATCCTCCTGATGCACACTCCACCCTCACACAACACTCCAGTTAGAAGACAAGGGCTTGGATCACGTGACCACGTGGCAAGTCACCAACGCCACTGCTGCCGCTACATACTCACCAGTCACCCTGGCATTCTCAGCACAAAACAGAGCTTTGCTTTCCTCATAACAACATGAGACACTCCTTTGATTTTTAGACACTCATACTGAGTCTGACTGCTTCTCAGGGGAGAGGTGACACAGGCAACATGGTTTCCTGGGTCTCAAGCAAGAGATTAATATTTTTTCAGGCTGAAATGGAAGCAGGGCCTCACACATGCTGGGTAAAAACCATGCCACTGAGCCACAGCCCAGCCCTGAGTGAGCTAGAAGAAGGAAAGGGAAGCTGCTTTCTAAGACCTTCCATGGGCAGAGGAAACCAAACCATAAGCCACAGCATGACCCCTGACCCGACACCCTAGGGCAATACCCTCCCCTCCGAGGCCAGTGGTCATCCATCTATCAAGGTAACAAAACCATGCATGGTGACATCATCTGCCATCCTTAGAGACTGAGGCAGGAGGATTGCATGTTCAAGGCCACCCTGGGCCTCTCTCAAAACAACAAAGCCATCTCAAAAAAGAAGAAAAACAAAACAACAACAAAAGAGAACTCTTAAAACCAAGCAAGATGCTTAGTCAGTTCCCTGGAACTAAAAGAGCCCTATAAAGACAGAGAAATAACTTCTGATCTGTCCACTTTTTTTAATTTTTACAAAAACTTTAAGAATTTCATATGTGCATATAAGGTGTTTTGAGCAAATCCATGCCCACTTCCTCCCCTCCAACATTCCCCCTGAAGAGGTAACCCTAAAATCTTTTAAGGATTAGATACAAGCTCCCAAATACTTTTGACATTTTTGGCCTTGGAACAGAGTATGTCACTGACAGGCCCAAGAACATTTTGACTTCTAGCCAAGAAACTGGCTACATTTCTTTGGGGTCTTTTACCCTAACTGCCTAGCCAATTCCTACCTCCTATTCTTATCACACCATCCTTTGAAAGGGTTACCCAAATTGCCAATACAGAATAGGGACGCTGACCGCTCTGGCTTCTTCCATGCTGAACTGGGACACAGGGTGAGGCAACTGGAGACCCCTTCAGTGGGTCTATCTAAAAGACTCCCAAACTGTGTATATATATATTTTTTTTTTTTGATCTTTTTGAGACGGGGTCTCCCTGTAGCCCCAGCTGTCCTGGAACTCACTACACAGACCAGGCTGGCCTCAAACTCACAAAAATCCGCCTGCCTCTGCCTCCCAAGTTCTGGGATTAAAGGCGCATGTACCACCACACTCAGCCTGAAAATAGCATGATTCTTGTCACTAGGGGGAGAAGAAAGTCCTTGAATTGTGAATAGGAGATGTGAAGGAGAAGTAAAGGCAAGACTAATTAGCATTACAAGTTCTAGACAGAAAACTAGAAAAAAGTCAGAACAGGGCAATTTTCAAATGTTCATATGAGAGTCCACTGGAGTTTCTTGACAAGGGCTTCCAAAAGCATCCCTCTATTGGGTTCTTCCCCATTTTTCTTTTGTCTTCCAAGGCTGGACTAGTTGGCTGGGAAGAGTGGCTGGATACTCAGGTGAGGGTCCAGTGACCCTGCTTGGCACTCCTTTAATGAATGAGCACAACCAGCAACAAGCCCAATTGTGACTGTTTAGTGATCAGGCTCAGCCAAAGTCATGATGATGGTGGTTATTTCATGCAGAAGGGACTGCTGTATAGCATCATCTTATTAAAAGGACCTGGAATTTAAAAGGATTTGGTGCTAGCAGCCACATATGAGGGAGAACATACGTCGTTTGTTTTGCTGAGTCAGTCTTGCTTCACTTAGTATAACAGTTTCTAGATCCATCCATTTACCTGCAAATTTCACTTCCCATCTTTCTTTACTGCTGGATAGAATTCCATCGTGTAAATATACCACATTTTTGTTAACCACTCATCAGTTGAGAGACACTTAGGTTGCTTCCATCTCTTAGCTATTGTGAAAAGAGCAACAACAAACATGGTTGTACAAGTGTCTCTACAATAGGGTGAGTTCTTTGGGTATATGCCAAGGAGTGGTTAACCGGGTCATATGGTAGGTTCATTTTTAGTTTTTTGAGAG